GGCTGGAAACTGGAGTCTGTGCTCGATGGGGGCAGCAGATGCTGGGTGAATAAATCTGTGCAGGGATGTGACTCCTTCTCCTGACAGTTTCAGCTGACTTTTCCCATGCTCACATCACTGCTCACCCCTCACTCGGTGCCCGCAGCCCCGCGGCCACGCCAGGGCCCTGCTGCCTCCCTGCAGCCCCCCTCCCTGCACAGCCTTCGGGCTGGAAAGGGGCAGTGGGACAGGAAATTTCCCCGTTTTATAACTCCACAGCCAGGCTGATTGTTCTGGAGGAGGCATCGTGGCTTTATTTTTACACAAAAGCTTCTGAGGTTGCAGCGTGTAGCATCAGCGTGGGTTGGGTGTATCAACCTCCGGCTGACTGCGATGTTTGGATTAAGCCAAAATTTTATTCTTTTTGGAGGAAAAATACCACTGATTATAGAAAATTATTATTTTTTTTCACACCAACAAGATAGAGGCCTTGAAAAGCTCAGCCTCCTGTGCCGACGATCACAGCCTGTTCAGGTGCAGGACGCCTTTATTAAGCATGCTCTTTAAAGTTAAACACAGCCGCGCTTCTCATGCGGTGCCTGTTCCGAGCAGGAGCTCTGCTTTCTTCTGATGCCAGGGAAAAGATTTTTCTCTTCAAAAGGAGGAAAAAAGGAGGAAAACATAAAAAAAAAAAAAAAAAAAAAAAAAAAAAGACATTTTGCTGGTGAAATGCAACCCAGGACCACGGCAAGGTGACTCTCGCAGCTTGCCTTCCCCCGGCTGCTCCCGTGCAGCCCGGGGCTGCTCCCTCCACCACAGGCATTCCAGCTGCCGTGCAGGTAATTAGGGCTCCCTTTGATTAACCATGGCTGCTTTGGGCACTTACAAGGCTGGGGCAAGGCGATGAAGAACACAGCCCCCCAGAAGTGCCCCTTGGAGCTTTGGTACCCCCGAGCTTGCCCCGTTTTGGGCTCCTTTTGGGGGAGAAGACCCCACAAGAGGAGCCCAAGGAGGTGTCAGCGGTGGTTCTGCTCGCAGTGGGGACAAGGCTGGAGCTTAAAGTGTCCACCCCATTAGGGGAGAGGAGCCACGGGATGTGCTGAAGGAGAAGCTCTGGGGTACAGAGCCCGGCCCCAGGCTGTGCAGGACCACCACTGCTGCTGAGACCCAGCCTGGCACAAACCTGGGAGGCTGAGCAAGGAGAAATGGTAACCTGGGGGAATGAATGGCGACGGGAAACATTTAACAGCACCTGGAGGTTGATTTGTGCTCCAACAAAGGCGATCATCAAGCGGAAACATGACAAATTTACATTTACCTTATACCCATACAACTGCACCTAATTACCACGCTTTGCTGTGAGCACAGGAAAACCTTCTGGAAGTGCAAATTGCAGCAGGTGCAAAGAGCAGCTGAGAGAATTGCAAAAAGAAGCACCTCACCCCAGAGGCTGGCAGAGGTGTGCCTGAGAGCTGGGTGGGTGATGGCAGGAGGGCCACAAGGGGGTTCTGCCAACACACCAGCACAAACTGGTTGAGTTTGGACCATAAAAATCACACAGAATGTGTAAATGCAATCGGCACGGAAGGACTGGGGGCTGGGAAGGCCCCTGCAGGAGAACGAGCTGAAAGACCCCAGCCCCTGCCGCCGTGGCTGTTCTCCAGACTTTAGCAGTTACGTACCGAGAAGCCTGACCCCGCTGATGTCAGCAGGAACTTTGTCAAAGCATTTTGTCTATGCATTAATTTTAAAACACCAGTTATTAGGAGAATTATTAGATTTTAAAAATAAACATGCTGTTCTAGTTTCTGTGTGCATTTGGCCAAGCTGGAGACCAGAATATCTTTTGTGCTTGAGACTCAGGAGCTGGGTTCCCAGCACACCTCATACACCCCGCTACTCCATTTGCACAGCTGCAGATTTCACCCTATATACTCAAAACATGACCACACAAAAAAAAAAAAAAAAAAAAAATTCTGCAGGGTTTTGCCCCAGCATCTTGCCACATTCCTGCCACTAGCAGCAGCACGCCCTCTGCAAACACCTCTTTTTAGGCCATCTCCAGCATTTTTTCACATTTATGTTGAACTCCATCAGGTGTGAAAGAAGGCGACGGCCTCCGGTAGCACCAGGCACGCTGCACACACGCGACATTGCTTGCATGAAACACACAGCAATAAAAAAGGAGCAGTGCAGCCTATGGCAACGTGAAATCTCTGCTAACCCCCCCATCAGGGTTACACCGAGCATCCCGGTTATTTTCCCAAGGTAACTTTTCACAGAAGCCTTCCAAGTTAAACACTCCACATCTGTTTCAGGCCCGTCTGTGTGGGAACGGGGTAAGGTGAGAAGCTCGGTCCCATTTGTAAGAAAAGGCATTTTTGCTGCGTTTCTGGTAGCTGCCCTGCTTTCCTTTCCGATGTGAAGGCATTATTAAATAAAACAACCTGAAGACAAGTAAATGGAAGACAACCATGAAAAATTGTCTGGGTACAGAATGGCTCAGACACAAGCACACTTGCCAGGAGTGTATTCATTATGAAAAGCATGTGGAGAGGCAACAATTCTGGATGTCACAGCCACTGCTGAAGAAATACAATATATAGATATTTCATTGGCGGTTGGAGGGATAAATCAAGTTAAATTGCTCACAGAAGCAAACCCAAAGCATCTTGCTGTGAATCTAGAAAAGTAAATTTGCAGTCTCGGGGGAACGTTGCCATCATTTGTTTTCATTTCTTTGACTTCTCTTCATTTATGTTAGAGATTAGCTCTCCGAACAATGATCACAGCAATATAAAAACGCGCTCCCAGAGGAACGGGATGAAAGTAATATTTACCAAAGTAAACCCAAGTGAAGAAATAAAATGGGAAGAACTAAGTTTGTATAAAAAACAACAACAACACACGAACTACTTAGGAAAGGAAAACAAAATGACTTCAACTATCAGCGAACCACTAAACTTCCACCCAAAAACATTTATCCTCACTGGGAGGCCAAGAGGCAGACAACGAAGCCAACAAAGCCAAAGCCACAGAAGGCTGCCAGCAGCAGCCCTTGGCTTATTTTCCTGTTGCCCATTCTGGCCAGATTTTGTTCCCTAAATATTCATTTTTCCTCAAGGAAAACAAAACCACACAAACATTGTTGATCTTATTGTTTCTTCCTATTTATCTTGTTTTTACCCAACGCGATCCCGCTACGGGTGCAAACAGACAAGTTACTGCTGAAGGAGCCTGGCTCAGGTGGCGAGATCCCTGGTGCCTCCCCAGCCCATGAAGCCAGCACACAGCGCCCTTGGCAGGGCGTTTCATCATGGCTGGATTTTAGATCACAACTTCCTTGCTTTAGAACATTTTGCACCCAGAAGGGGCCAGGAATGCAGGGAAACCCAAATTAAAGACATGATAATACCCACAGGAACCTACCTGAGGAAAAGGAGCCCGGAGCATGGCAGATCCCGGGCAGGGAGCAGCAGCGGGGGCAGCCCCGGGGTGGGCACTGCTCAGAGCAGAGCACAAAACACTTCCAGCCTCTGCAGCTTCCAGGGGAAAGAAAAGAAAAAGCAATACACAGCTCCCCATGCCCCTGAGGGCTAAGATGTGATGGGCACAGACTGCAGCAGGAGCTGCTGTCACAGAGGGAAGCCTCTCCTGCTCCGACAGCAGGGCAGGGAGTGGGGGGCTGCCCAAAACCTGCAGGTTTGGGGCTCCCAAGCAGGCAGGTGCCTGCCAGGAGCGATGCACACCCAGGAGATGCACAGCTGAGGGTGCTGCAGCCTAATGGGGTGAGGAGGGAGGGGTTGGAGGAGCAATTTATGTATTTACTTATTTATTTTCCCCTCAAATATTCCAAGTTTATTTTCCGTGACTCTTTTACCAGAGCAGCCCAGGACCTCGTTTGCTGAAATACTGTCATGTTGAACAACTGCAATAGCACCAAAATCTTTTCACCCTGATAAAAGTTTTTTTCTGGCCCAAGAAGACCCCCACACGCGGGCAGCTTTGCTGATGCTGGCACCTTCCTTTGAAGAGGTTCAGCTCCTTCCTCTCTGAAGCTGTAGCTCGGTGACCCCCAGCAGCTTGCACTGCAATGTGACAACACAAAAACCTTTTTCTATTGCACCACGGGGCTAATTGCATTTATTGTAGTGTTCTTCCATTTAAATATAAGAAAACAGAGCTGCACTTGGAGGTGTTATAACAAACATATCACCATTTGCACTGATCGCTCACTTCTGGCATTTCACAGAGCTGCACGAGAAAACCAACCAGACCGACCCAGTCACGGGCACTCCTGTCCCGTTGAAAGATTTCTGATGCTGTCAGGAAGTGCTACAATCACGGAGAATCCCCAAAATATCAATACCCCATTTTATTCATCTCTGAAAGAGGGGGTGGCAGTACAGGGTATGGATGTGCTCACACATTTAGGACAGAAAGCCACAAAACTGGCACGAGCCATTGCAACAGCAGAGCCTTCCTCCAGAAAAGCAAGGTCTCATCGCTTTACTACATTTGTTCCCTCTAAATGGGAAACTTTGCAAGACCCTATGGAAACTGCCATGAAGTCTGTGCTTTGAAAGCCCTGTACCTTCTGTGGGGTCACTGCTGTCTGGTCCCACCACCCCTCTCACCAGCGTACGCTTTGGGTCAGATCTTGCTTTCATAGAAATAAATGAGATTTTTTTTTCACACAGAAGCAGCAGGAACGGATCCTGTGGGCACTGCACTCTGCTCTGCTGCGTGGGGCATTTCTGAGATCGGCGTGGAAGAAAGTGAGAAAAATAAGCATGGAAGACAAAAATTCCAAACCAACGTGAAAAAGAACAGGAAAACAGAAACAATTTTAAATAAAGCTGCCAGCCTGCTTGGGAACTCTACAAACTTCCTAAATTACATCTTACATTAAGTACTCTGCTTTGAAATGCTCTGAGTTCATTTTTTCCAAAGCAACAGAAAACACCATTCATTTCCTTGACTATAACAAATACCCACAACATCATAAAGAAAAATCCCCATTCGTAGGAGAAAATGTTATAATTGCTCCTACAAAATATAAATCCATCAATCTAATGAATAATAACTTAAAAATGAGGTCAACTGAGAAAATGATTATGATCACAGATGGAAGAGGAGAGTCTGTCCTCCCCGTACTGGAAAGAGAAGGGACACGCTGGAGGTTGGTGCGGAGCTGTGCTGATTTCCTCCAGCCATGAGATCTGATCTTCACAGGCAGAGGGGCCGCCTTTGCTCTCAGTATGCTCCAGAAGGCCAACTGGCATCAGTGGAAATCTGCATACAAATAAGCAAAAAAAGCTCTCCATGGCTTTCTCCCTCTCAAGTTGAAACGATTGAGCCCTGCATTATTTCACCCAGTACTTCCAAAAGTTTAGAAACTTAAAAACCCCTGAAAGTTGGCTTAAAATATTTATTATTAATTAAAAAAGTTAAATATTTATTCATACAAAGATGATGAGAAAAATCTCATGCAGACTTTCCACATACAGGAACATAATTCAAATCATACTGTGATGGTTTTACAAAATAACTGCTTGATAGGAACTCTGACGGAGAAGTGCTGCTACCACTCGTGTGCCTGAAAGCACCGTTCACAGGAATTAGAGAGCTAGTTCTGAAACTTAGAGTTTTCCTATGGAACATATGCCAAGATTTTCACACTCTTCACTAAGATTAACAATTAATATCTTATTACTACTACTCAGAGAACTGGACATAGACGTGTGAACACTGGGTAATGAATCCCTGCATACCACTGTACTTCTAAACAATTTATGATAATGCGTAAAGTTGCCAAAAGATTGCGATAGATAATTCCCCTAAATGATGAAAATATCTTGAGGTTGTTATGGATGGCATCTGCTTCTGCTTAATTACAAATCTGCACTGGATTCATAATTTGTGTATATTACAAGTAATTTGCATAATTAAAACAATTAAGGGATTGACATATCCTGGCAATTAGAAATGCATCAAACTCTGGATGTTGTACAAAAGAGAGCTTCAATATGAAACATTAATTCTTTGAGAACAAAATATCCTTCAGACTCCTGCAGAACAGCCTTCACAACTTCTACGCGTGTTCAACAAACGTCGTTAGAGGAAGTTTTTCCCGGGGATAGCCACTTCTTCGTTCAGCTGTTGCAAGTTTAACCTTTGCTTTAGCGTTCATTTATTTTCTTACCGCAGTCACAGCATTGACTTCTGTGCTTATTGCCAGTTTCAAGAGCTTTTATCTCATTTTCCGTAGCCTTATCCTGTTTTCTTTGTCCCTCTTTTTAAGAATAAGTATGAATTGATTGAAAAAATGCTCTTGGTCCTTCTTCTTTTGAACAAGCCGAAACCGCTGATCCCTTCCGTACTTCTCTGCAAACTCCTTAAATGTCGTTCTGCAGAAAAGACAGACAGGTTAAACTGCAGCTTGGTCCATCCAGCCCGACTCTGTGACCTGGATGTCACGCTTAACTTTTCACGGGCACTACAACAAGGTGTGTTCTGGGGAAAATTTGACGAGAACATCTCGGCAACCCCTGCGACAAGGAAGGCAAGGCCAGAGCTGCCTGGGCTGCTGCCTCCCCCATCGCCTTGCACAGGTTAACTCCCTTCTTTGGGTTTGGGGACACCTGGGCGATAGCTGAGGGGCTAAGTGTGAATCATTAGCACACTAAAACAGGCAGGTTACTCACTCCTGCCTTCATCTCTCCCCAGCAGTCCAATTCAATAATTAGCCCATAATAGAGCAGAAGCACAAGCCTACGCCTAATTGCTAACGAATGCACTTTGACAGCCAGCAGCACACGGTGCCTGATGGACGGCCGCGGTAGCTTCAGCTCCTTTAAAACAGCAACAAATTAATTGTAAATCTGAGAGTTACAGGCACGACACAACTGAAATCCACCGGGAGATCTGCAAACACAGGATTTGAGGACAAAACACTGCCTGGTAGCACCTCTGCGGGTCCCCTTGCTCCCAGGACCGAGCAGAGCAGCCGGGCACTTCCAGTTACTAGCACCCACAGAACGATGGCCAGGACTTTGTTTTTAAACTCCCAGACTTTTGGAATCTCTTAGGTACACACTGCCCGAGCAACGGTTTCTAGCTTAATTTGTTTTCAGGTTGCATTCACAGTGCTGGGATAAATGATGGAAGCTGGAGTTAATGAAGAATTGGAGCAACGCGATTATGATAGGAAAGGCAGCAATCGCCGTGTCGTGCACGTGATTTCTATCTTGTGCTGTCTCTGTCAGACCTGAAAGGCATAGAGGGAATGCTGGAGGTGCTCTAGGTCCCGTTGGTGTTTGCTTTGCTGCTGCCAAGCCCAGCTACCCTGTGCTCCGGCTGCTCCCTGAGCCAGTGCTGGGGGCAATTTGCAACGCGCATCTCTGGGCTTACACCGTCCGGCTGCACCGCGCCGCTTCCTTCTTTGTCTTGTCAAGGACTTTGTTGAGCTCACTACACTCTGTCATATGAATTTTACAACATTTATTGTTGGCTCTAAACACTGTGGATTTGTAACAGTCACTTGGGTTTGGTTCTATTTGAAATATTTTCTATTTATTTATCTTACTGCACACTAAAATCAAGCTAGAGATTATTGCAGGCAGATGAATTTCTCTGACATCGGGATCTCACAGCTAGCTCAACAAAAACATTAAATGGTAAAACGTTCTCTGTTCCTGCAGGCCAGCGTGTTTTTGCCCTTGCAAACTGAAAAAGAGATTGCTGGAACCAGCATTTAGCTGTTAGGTTATCCCAGAATGGTTTCTGTTTCATTGTAAAAAAAAACTTTCTATAATTATTACTTCCATAGATTTTGATGTGTTGTTTGCATCTACGTGTCTAGGCAGGCAGTGCTGTACAATCACCTGCAGATTTTAGTGGAGAAAACTGTAATTTCTTAGTTCCAACAATTTAACCAGACTTGCTATATATAAACCTCTTTATTTCCACATCATTTACAAATGAGCAAATGCCATCCTTAGCACTGCATTTGCTATCATGCAACTTTGGGTCCATTACTTAAAAATCAATGTAGAAAAATAAATGATTGTACTGCATGCTTTATTTTAATTTAATGATGTGATATTACTAACAACTTTGTTCAGTTATGCTTCTCTTCCATCAAAACCCAAACAGTTTTTCACTAGTTTTAACTGCATGCCTAATGTAAGTGCATTAAGGTACGGATATTATGTACACTCGTGCTTTATATAATTATACCATATATATGTGTATAAAATAAATGTGTTCTGCAAAATATTACACATTCTAAATGAGAGAGAAACAAACAAACAAAAAAAAAAGGAACAGAAAGGGAGAAATGGTATATTCTCTTTCCCAGTAATAACAGAAAATATTATCAAATATTACTAAAGAAATGTCAACACGGCACTGTAACAATGGATGTGAAACCTTGCTATAAAGAGCACATTCAGTTTTACAGCATTCCAGGACTGATAAGCACACACTAAATGAGAAACCTTGTCTGAACAGATCTCCATAAGGCAATGCCATACCTTGGTGATAACTTGGATTCTTCGAGGAGTTTTTTAAATTCTTCTTTGGCTAACAACAATTTATTTTTCTTTTCTTTGTACTCTTCTCTTATCCTGGTCTTGACAAACTGTTCAAATATCTTTTGAAATAAGGGAAACAAGATACAGTATTTATTAAAAAGGCTTACGGTATTTGTGCTTCATTAAAGGGTTGTCAATCTCAACAAGTACAACTCTTATCTGCCCTCAGTACTTGCTGACTGAAACGCAGCTGAATCTGCTTCACGGAGCACTGACCACGTGTTTTCAGAAACAGGCAGATGGAAACAGGCATAATTTTGACAGATAATGTAATCACTCAAACATCGAGTGCAACATAAATCACAATTTCCTGACTTGCTCACATCTTCATGCCTATAGCACTGTGTTTTTTTTCTACCCCTGTGTCTGTACAACTACTTGCATATATTTAGTTGGGATCTCACAGCTTTCCCAACTTGCATTAATTCCCAAAAACGTCTATAACGCTAAACATCAGCATCCTGTATGTTACCCCAAAAAAGCCTGAAGACCCTTCAATTCAAGTTGTCAGAAAACATGAGCTTACACATGATGCTCTCTACACATATACCCGAAAGCTTTACTGCCTTTGGAAGCATTGACAACCTTCATCCTAACAGCACTTGGCAGCTAAATATGCGGCAGAGTGCTCAACGTCAGGGTTTTTGGTGTCTTGGAAAGGAACTAAGGACTTCCCTACGTCTAAAAATTCTGCCAACTGCTTTAATCACATCGTAAAATACCAAAAATCTGATCCTGCTGACTTTGTGCTCTGAAAAGTGAGGCACACCAAGCTGCTGAGGAGCTGCTCCTCCTGAAAGCTGTTAGCTTTCCGTGTTCACCATCCTTCTCTTTTCCCCACACATGATGTACATTAAATACGGTTACAATGGTTACTGCCATGGTTGATTTCTCATCAGCTGTGAAGATGCACAGGTGCAAATCTACGTTTCATGAAAGCAGCGCTACAACTGGTACTGGGCATGGTATGTGAAAAGGGGAAGAAACAGCGCTGGAAAAGTAAACATCAAAGGTGGCCATGCAAGACCTACTATGACAACGCAGGAAATCTGAATATATGATACTGCATGCAATTGCATAAGCTGAGTACAAGAGAAAATGGAAAAATGGAACAAATAAAATCTGTGAAACTGTTACAGCTTGCTTTTCTGCTATCAGTACAGCCATTAACGACAGTCATAAATCAAAATTAACAGATAGCTCATTATCTAATACAGTCGCTTCTTTACCCTTCACTGATCCTTGACTAGAACACAGTAGCATCTTTCAACTGTTAATAACCCCTTGGAACATATTGCTCAGTAGGCAGATCAATCTGTAAATATTCAATAAGGGGTCATTATGTTCCTCAGGGCAGCGTAAGGACACGCACCACCGCAGCTTGCAGTCCTGGAAGTCAAACCCAGCCCCAACAGACGGTCAAGTCAAGACCAAGATTCCCTCTGACACGTGCACATCACACTCAAAACACCTTCCCTGCCCCTTGCAGGCTACCTGCTTGACCACAGGCAGAAGAAATCTGTGGTACAGCCATGCATGTATCACTCCCTAACACCTTGCTTTCACTGTGAGCCAGTTTTCACCCCTAGAACCCCTCAAATACTAATCCATTTGTGTAACTGCACAAGCACTGTAGAGGCTTGCTATTTGGGCCACACAGTCAGCATCTGTCATGGTAAATGTTTCCACGGACCTAAATGAAGTCTTCTACCAACGTGAGTTGTGTTTCAGTACGCGCTTTCATTAAATCATCGATCCTTGTCCAGCTCTAACTTTCTCCTTAAACTTCTTCCCAGAGGAAAATGAGGTCTAATTAAAGGGAAGTGCTTACAGTCAGTGTCTAGACCTCTTAACTTCAAGTTTAGCAGCTACAATAAATTACATACATGGCATGTGCTCCCAACCTTTTTTTTTCTTTTCTTTTTTTTTTTAAGCCCTGGCTAGTCAAAGAGCTCCTGATGCTCATCCTCTCCCACCACAGTTCTGAACCACCCTCAGCCCTGAATCACTCTCACAGCCAACACCTGCCCCACAGAGGCTTTCTACCCACAGGACTGCTCACTTCTCACAGCCTCTCCTTGAATTAAGTGCACCCCACAGATGAGGTCCCTGCCAGCAGCGCTTCAAGCAAAGCTCCACATTATATTATGTGTGTTCCTTATGTATTTTTATTATATCACCTCCATGGCTGACAAAATAAAAGAAGTAATGTAGCTTGATTGACTGATCAAGGTCTAGGTTTTGTCCTTGCTGATTCCCTGAAATAAAATACAAGGCTCCTTGCTTAGCCTCTTATTTAGCAGTATTTTCCACTCTAGCAGTTTCGCTCACATTTTCATTCCCATATTTCATTATTGTTTTATTTCATTTTTTTTTCTCGGGAAATAAAATATTGGAAAGGTGGTAAATGAAGATGCATGTGCCCAGCCCCTCAGTAACTACCTACAGCAAGCTCTCTGGAGAATCCACAAGACAATATGGGCCCCAGTACAACAGAATATAAATAAGTAGTACATTTTTCATGATGTTTATTTTAAAAATGGACAATTCCATATTCAAAATTCTTCCTTTTCCAGGGTGACAAAGAACTAGTAAGGAAGATATATGACCACAGAGTAAAGGAGTTCACCTTCCCTGCCACATCCCTGCATCTCCCCTAAATTTTTTAGACTAATCTGCAGCCCTGGAGTCCTTTTAGTTCCTCGTGATAATTAATGCCCAAATAAACAAGGCAGCAAGGAGTATACTTCCCTTTGCAGCCTGCCACAGAAGCTATAGCCATTCAAACACATGCAATCACAGCCAACACGCTCGTTCCATTTACATCTAGCAAGTTTAGTTATTGAAAAATATAGCAATAAATACTGCCAAACTCCTAGAAAAAATTCCAAGTAATAAAGTAGTCTCCCCACAATATGTAAGATAAATCAGAGTGGAAGCATTACCTTATGGTCATTAGCCTTTCTACAGCTGAGTTCCCCCGACTCAGCTGGCTTTGGTCCTACAACCTAAGAGGCTGCAGCTCCTCTCTACGTGCCAACTTACTCGTTGCCTTTCAAGGGCAACAGCACTTTCCTACAAACACAACCTAAATTACAAGCCCCACTGACAAATTCAAAGAAGAAACTTCATTTCTGTGCAATGCTTTTTATCTTACCAAGATAACCGCTCCCTTACCCGTGCTAATTTGGGAAATGTTTGCCACCAGTCAGAAGCGGCGCTGGCAGTAATGCTCACCTGTTTACGTTCTTCTGAATTTAGCAGAAGGTATCGTGGATCAAATACTATTTTGTGCAACTCTTTCTCCCATGTAGAAAATGCTGAAACCTGTGAAGTATACAAGTACAGTCGCATTAAAGAATTGCAATAAGGACTGAAAACAAGCAAATGTTCCAAGGTGAAGCGGAAGAGTGGTTCAGAAAGCTACTGAATGCTCTAAAGGTGCCTCAGAGCAGCTGGAAGTTGCATTTCAATCTGGTCCTGGCAATGCTCTGGTTGCACCCATGCCATTATTGTTGGTTTGCTCTAGGACATCTCAGTATCTGGGAGATGTTAACTCCCAATTTTTTGATGGAAAGGATCTGCAGCAGAAAGGGAAATGCTGTTTTTATTATCCTCTTTCTATGACAGAAGCACCAATTCCAATTTAAGTAAGTACCTCAGCTTTAACTCCCCCTCTTCCAAAACTGTAATGCTAACCCAAAGGAAGCTGTCAGTGCATCATACACTGAAGAACTGATAGCGATAATCTTCAAAGCATTATATTAATATCAAATTTATATTCATATTTGATATTCATATTAAATTTACCACCTCCATCCCATGGTGTAGGTGTCACCACCTCCATGTGGAGGCTCCTGCCTTGTTCTGTTCTCTGGCATGGGAAGCTGGGTGTGCACCCAGGCTCTGTGCACCACCCTCGGGTTTCTGAGAAAACTGTTAAACTTTCAGGAGGATACTAACAGAGGTTACGTTTCTACACAGGAAAACTTGCCGCAGGCTTAGGAATAGTGCTGTCACCTTGGGGTTGCACCAATATCATATTTTATTTTTAATGCTACAGTATATTACTCTTTTGTTGATATATTTTTTATATGAAGATTCATAACTACGCTGAGGAACTAGATCTAGCTCAAGCTCTTTGTAATGCTGTCAAGTACCCTCTTGAAAAATAACAACATTACAAGAAAATGGCAGGAGACGTCCTTTTAAATAACCCGTTTAAAATAACACTAATGGCCTCAGTGCATTTCAAGAAATGCCAGCCAGCTGAGACTAACCAGCAGCTTGTCTGGACATTTAAAAAGGCCTAGGGTAAAAGTAAAGTAACCTATTTTCTAAATGTTTTTAATTAAAAGCAAAAACAAACAGTAAATTGACTACATTTCTTCCTTGATGGGCAAATAAACGGGAAATACTTGAGGAATCTTTTTATAGAATACCCTTCATATAGAATACCCTTCATAATTTTGACTTATTGTCCCCTTACTTTAAATTTGTCAGCAAGTTTTCAAGCAGTATTCATTTATTGCATATGTTAAGCATAATTAACAAAATGTATTAATAAAGCAGGTCTGTTTGGAAATAATTTACTGATGAGCTTCTGAATCTCTGATTATGTACCTTTAAAATCTGATTATTACTGATAAGTTTTACAAGCTTTACTGTCTAACAACAGGATTTTTTTTTCTTTACAGAAATTACATAAACCTCTATCGAATACGTATCTGAAGAGTGTTGGAAGAAGGTGTGAAATCTGCACACACTACTCCAGTGCACACCCATTTACGTTTGCAGGACTAAGGACGGAGCCTGTTATGTTCATTACTCCCATTCCTGCTCTCTGGAAGGAGAAGGGATGCTGGGGGATGAATTTCTGTGCTGGCACCTTTATGTTTATAAATAACTGCATCCAGAATTCCTCACGAATTTTGGTCATCTCTGGGTGCATACACAGGGATTTATTCAGAACTGCACCTGCAAAAGAGCTTTAACACTGCATGGCCGTGTTTTACTGGAGGGCATTGGAAGAAAAGTCAAAGAAATACAAAAACTACATAGTTAAATAGATAGAAAAATACACTCCCAATAATTCTCCATTTGAATGCCAACTCAGAATTATGAAATGATTCCTGCAGTGGTCATATGGGATGCCCTAACTCACAAACGAGGTCTGTCAGATCACCCAGGCGTGCTTCCTACCCCTCTCTCCAGCAGCATGTCTCGGAAATGCGTGATGCGCTCCTCCAGGGGAGGTGTGATCTGGTGTCCTGATGCCTTCGCTTTTTGCTCCTCCACTTCTGCCTCCGCCTGGTCAGCGGCTTGGGAATCTTCTGTTCTTTAACAAGGGAAGACAGAAAGCAGGTCAGAAATTGTAACCTTCGGAGGGCATTTTTAACCCTCTCCAGCAAATAATATTTTCGGGATGGCGGGATCCCTTTGCAGGCAGGGAGCAGATTCTGCCAGCGGCCGCTCCCCAGCCCTGCAGCCAGCTATTTATTAACTGCAGGTCTGCAGGGCCCTGCCAGGGGAGCTCCGGCGACTCATTAGGTGGAAGAACAGCCCATCTGTGTGGTCAAAGAGCGACTCAGCACCGAAATCTGGCCTGTGTGTCAAGCTACAGAACAGTGACAGCTTCATATACAATTTGTCAAAGAGCGAAGATGTTAAGAGTGACTTAAGGGACTCATTTTGTTCTCTTCTATTTTCTTGTCTCTGTTTCTGTGCCCCCACACGTGAGAGGCAATGCTAACCTTTATGTTCCCGTGCACCCCAACAACTTGCAGCTAACCCAGGAGAGAAGGGCTCCCAGGCAGCTTTCTGCACGTTGTAACCAAAAGGAGCACAGAGCAGCCCAAGGGTGATCTCCTTGGCTGTGACCCTACAGAGCTGGTGTAATCACCACAACCAAACACTTTACACCAGGTAAATACCCCGAATTCACACCGCTCTGCATTCATCCTACTGCTGCTGATGGCTTTCAGCAAAAAACTGATTCAATAAAAAATTAAGGTATTGTCTGGGAAGTCCAAGAATATTAAAGTGATCACAACGTACAAGTGAGGATAATGAAAGTAAGCTGCTTGATTCTTAGCTTCCTACTCGGCATGGCTGCGTTTGCTAATGAAGCAATTTTCACTAATACATGCTATTCAATACTTAGGTTTGGAATTTCAACATGAAAACAATTTTTTTTTTTAATATTTCCAAGCAAATGGATTCCATCAGTATGTAATCTGAGTCCTACTTCACAATCTTCCCTCTATAAATAATTACATTACACTTACATTTATCCTAGAATGCTCTAGTACCAGTGATTTGAAAGATATCAAATTGTTATTCTTCACAGAACGGCAGTGCTTTTTACATTGCAATAGCAAATTTTATTCTGTAACATGATCCATGAAAGGTCCAATCCCATTTCCAGTACACACAAAGAGCTTTTGCAAGATGAAACTGTGAGAAATACAGCACATTGCTCAATCAGCTCAGCACCAGAGGAGCCTTTCTTTTCTTCAATCTTTCTCAGGCGATTGAAAATGTTGTTGAATATTATACAGACTTGTTTTTTTTTCTCATGCCAAAGATTACAATAAAGAATACAATTTTCCTTAGCAAATAATACAATAATCTGCACAACAAAGTATGTGACTTCGAAGTCAGAAGGACACGTACGGGTTTGCAACTAGCACAATTTTGGAAGGCTGCAAATCTCAAAAAGGACAGGACACAAACTGGAATACAGGGAAATCCATCTAAACAGGACAAAGCTTTTTGACTGTGAGGGCAGTCAGCTGCCCAGGGAGGCTGTGGGGCTCCAGCCGTGGAGATGCTCACACCTTCCTGGGCACGTCCCCGAGCCACCAGCCGTGGGGACCTGCTGCGAGCAGGGAGGGACAGAGACCCCCATTCCCTCCGTCGTTCTGCAAAGAACACCCATTTGAGCCAAGTTTCTATGAATATTTTTTTTCTTTTGTATAGGGTACAGTTAAAACATCACCTGAGTAAGATTTGCCTTCAGTATTTTGAAGGAATTTCCTTACACCCCAAGGAAATGCACGGCAAGTGCACCAGCAGCTTGTGGAGTGCAGAGCTCCCAAACCCCTAAATGCAGATTCTGGCTGGCAGCCCTGGAACAAGGCTCGTGCAAATGTCAACGTGAGAAAAAAGGGAGTTCTGCCTTGTTCTGTAGTCGGCGTTGGGTCAGGTCCCCTACCAGCTTCATCAGCAGCAAGCAAACAGAAGGAGAAGTGGAAGAGCAGAGCTGGTTTTGCCAATATAAATTTAATAAGTAAATGTGGAGATGGACATTAGCGTGAGTATCGGAAATGACAGAAGTGCTGCAATCAGAAGCTCTACCCAATACCTGTGTGACCCGTCTAGCTGAATTGGGATGACTTTTATTGGAACTTTGAGGCAAGTGCATCTTATCATTAGCACCGGGCTTCCTCCAGCAGATCACCTAGCAGGTGATCTACTGAATGCCAGAGCAACCACGTGATTTACTGAGGTAACTGAACTTCCACAGAGAGCACAACCAACCTGGAATAGGGATTGCAGCATGCTTTAGAACAAACCCTGAAAGCACGCACCAGCTCCTTTTTTGTTGTATTTAACCAAGAAAAACTGTTGATATTGCAAAAACAAGCAAGTAACGTGTGCCTGTGTGTAAAAATGAGATCCACTTTTCTGTTCTCCTGCAGATTTCATGCACAGCACTGCAAACGTCCACCTAACACCTGCCTCTCGCTTGCCTGGCTGTCTGAAGAAGCCGAAGCCAGCATGGTGTGGGAAGACACGGTGCTGAGACGAGGGTTTGTGGGGGACAGCGGCGTGGAGGCCCCGCAGCCTCGTCCAGCCTGGCACCTGCACACCCGCAGCCGACGTCTGCTCAATGTCCTCTGGTGAATAAGGCACGGAAATCCAACCCAGCTGAGATAATATTCCTTATTCATAAATAGAGACTGGCACAGGCACCATAAGCCCAAGACTTCTTTGATGCAGAAATCTCTGAATAAATGCATTTTCTCAAGTTTATGAACAAGCTTCTGTAGTTCTGGAATTCTGTTTGCTTGGAGTTTCATCACCTCAAGCAATCGTTAGAAGGAATCATCTCAATGGCACACAGAAAATACCTGCTTCTATACACAGGTCCCATGAGCAGCCTGTTATTGTTAGACACACCGATTTCAACAGAAGTGTTCTTAAATACTTTTATACTAAATAGCAACTTTTATCCTAACCTTACAAATACAGAATAAATATTAAAAGTACCTGTATTTACAATATATTCAGTATAAATGCATGCTTTTATACTACATATTAAATGCCTAAATACTCTGAGTATTGAACTCAAGGTATCTGATTTCTCCTTCATAACAATATAAACCCATGGGAACCCTACTGAGGTCAAACTCCCCACTCAAGGCAGTAAGGCAAGAACGGCAATATAGAAGAGAATAATATTATTTTCAATACCGCCACTTGCAAAACACAGAAATGTGTTGTGTTTCCTAATCAAAATGCCCACAAATACAGAAAACAGCATTATACATATTTATTTTACAGATTTTTTTATTTACTCTTCCAAACCAGCACACGAATCACAGCCAGCCTGTGCTGACCTTATTTGCAGTTACTGGCCAAAGGTTACGTAGAATGAAATGCTCCTCAGGCACTGCTTAAACCAAACTGTTTCTTAATATTTTGGCAAGGGTAGGGGCTAGCTTATTTGGCACAGTTTTTTCAGCCTCCTACTTCACAAGGATTTGAAGCACACATGGTGATAAAGGTCAAACAAAAGCATGGCAATACAAATGCCTCTGGACATTTCTGAGCTGGTAGCTTGGCTGCAGTTTTGCCTGACTACAGCATCAAAAGAGATGACTGAAACCTTGGAATCCCTGATTGCAGTGAAAAAATGTTACTTCACTTTAATCAAGATAAGGCTTTTATCCAATCTCTTTAAAATAAGGACTTATCCTCGTGGTATTTTTTTAAGCAATTTAAAAATAAATAACAGTTACTCACACAAAAATGGATGATGTTTATGGGAAATAAATATTTTAAAAAATCATGGTGTTGGATGAAGAGTGGATACTTTTGAGAATGTGTTTCATAATTTACTGATTTAGTTATCCATACAGAAGAAAATAGCGTTATTTCTCTTTGCACCGATTTGACCAGACTTTAGTTTCCCAAGATTTTATATACACTATGTATATATAAAAAAGTAAACTTTAGAACTTACTTATTTCTCTTTATTTTGATGCTAAGATCATCATTTTCATCTCCCGGACAAGAGCTAACACTTTTATCTGCTAAAGAGAAATAAATAGAGCAGTTAGATTTGAACTAGATAAATGGGAATCCAAATTCCCCACATTAACTTTTCATTTCTCGTTCTTTGATTTCCGCTCAGGTATTTACTGTTTTGTCTCTGCACAGAGTATTTTAAAAATAACTTATTTCATTCAGTCCTTAGAAACCCCTTCATGCAAATGGAAGTGATAGCAACAAATAAGGGCCATTTTCATTCTGCGAAACTGCTCGCTGTTCATTTGTGACGTTTTTATAAAATCTCATTACTCCACCTCTCTGCCCTTAAAAACACAACCACGAAGATGCTTCTGCAAAATTATTTCAGTCCTTGTAGTCTGAAGGATTCAACGGTGATAACTCACACCAGAGCTTATTTCTTACCCCGTTTCTCTGCTATATAAGCACATCTAGTGCCCCAGAGCAGGCTGCCCAGGTAGGCATTCAGATGGGCCTTGAATATCTCCGAAGAAGGAGACTCCACAACCTCCCTGGGTTTTCATCTAAATTCACACGGACAGACCAGCAGGAGTAATGCCCCGCTGACGGCTGGTTCGTGCTGGGATTTTCTCAGTAGATCACCGTGTATCAGCTGAGAAACACAAACACCAAACTGTACGTGCTTAGCTTGGGGACACCAGAAAGACTAAGCCGAGCCTATTAGGTTGGTACTGGAGATTGCTCTTGTTATTTAGGAAACTATTAAAAAATAAATAAAAATTAAGTTAAAATTGAACGGGTTATGGAGATAAAACTCAACTGATGGCTTCACTGCTTCAAATAACTTTGTACAGTGAGATCTGATCTCACTGAAATCAAATCCATCCAGAACTCCAAGAGGTCTGCAGTAAAATAATTTAATACAAATAGAGATCAGTAATTATTTTGAAGTGCATAAACTAATTTCAAGTCCCTCTTACGTGTCCAGGTCCAATCATTGAAGCTACCAGAAATTTGGCCATTTAAACCAAGCTTCAATTTAAGAAACTTGTTCTTGGCTCATTTTTCCCCTTATTTTAGGGAAGTTACTTATATATTAGAGGGTTTTCAGCAAATATGAAGGTTTATTTATACTAAGTGCATGAGCACAGCACACACTAAATCACTTCAAAAAGAACAATAGCACAAATGCTAGCTGTAAGATTTGGGCATGTTGAAGACCAGGGGTAGGAACAGAGACCACATAAGAAGAAAATACACAGAAAATTGAAATTATTTTGATATTTTACTAACTATAACTTAAATGATAACACTGAGAAGTGAATGTCATTTCAAAATAAGGAGAGTTTGATCTCAGCATTACAAATACATTAATCAATTTGATAATGTTTTAACTATATACAAATTCACAGAAACTATTATGTTTGCTAGCTGACTTCTTCATTGGGACACCCAATTAAAAGTACAAAGAAATAAGAAAAATAATCCATTCACTTAGATGGTGGAACGTAGTTCAATAGAGATAGTATAAAGCTATTAATGAGAAGTTGGACCTGCCAAAGCACCAGTGCTCTTAGCTTTAACGATTGGTACCATAACATGAAAAAGCAGAGTACCTGATGCTGTTTTCAAAGACAGCTGAAGTTAAGGATGACTCTAGGTTCAGTGCTGACTGACCAAGCATAATCCTGTTCCTACCAAATTTCAGCACTAATAAAAGGAAGAAAAAGCCATGGCAAGCAGAGCAGTTGTGTTTATCAAATGCCACACAGAGCCTTTCCTGAGCTGGCTAAAGGATGCATTCAGTGATACTCCTGGACATTACAAATCCTGACGTCAAAGTATGTTCTTTCAGTAAAGAATGAAAAGAAAGCAAGTGGTGAGGAAGTCAGGTCCGAAGCAGAAAGCTCACATTTTCAACAAGGCAAGGGAAAAACTCACCAGTGATGAAAAACGATTATGTGAGGCTCTCAAGCTACTTGAGCCTGAACTCTATTTGAAGCCATCTTAGGAAAAGATCTACCACAGATTTCTGAAAAGAAGGCTGTATCATTTTGGATTCTTTTTGTGAAAAAAATCCATGGACTGTATATTTATGAAACCAAACCTTTAATTACCATATAACTTTCAGATAAAAGAAGCCCGATACAATACACCCTGATTGCATTATTTACTCCCACCTGCTGCCTCCTGATATATATAACCTCAAGCTCTTCCACTGAACAATGACAGCCTGTATGAAGGAGGGACACTAAATCCTTCTTGCTTTGCTTGCATCAGTGACTTCTCTGGGTATGCTGCCTTGGACAAATGGAACAAGATTGGAGTCAGCATCATCGCTTAACATTTCAGGTGCGATGGAAAACTCAGTAAAAGATGACAAATGGTATTTATACTCTCACTCAGGAACCCACTGAATCACATCATATCGCTGGACCTCTGGTAAGATTATAAACTGACTTTGAAAGAGAAGAAAGGCAATGGAGCACAGAATCTAATAATTAATTCAAAGCTTTGAGGAAGAATATTACTTGGCAGTAATCCTTCCATGAAATCATGAACCAGAGCACTGCCCCAGTCTGATGGCCTATCGAGCTTAGTGCCGATTAATTAAATCATTCAACTAATCTGTCGTGTAATGAATTTCAGTTCATTTTCCAGAACAAAAAATTTACCACTATTTACCTGGTGAGTTAAAGCGTTGCCAATCCATTGGCAACACACACAAATCTGGTTTGTAGAGAGCTCTAGCTCTCTACATGTAAGGCTGTGAGTTAAGTGCTTAACTATCTATGCTATTTGTAAGGACCAGGCTTCTTTTTTTTTTTTCAATACTAACTGGCTGAAAATATTTCTGGGAACAGAGTAGACTAAATCATCCCTAATTCTGAATGAGGATCATACCAAGTATGAATCAACATGCAATTTTCTGTTAACGTTCGTTTTCTTTGTCTGAAAAAAATATAAATTCCTGACCTTAACATCCAGACAAACAATTTTCTATAAAACAGAAAGAAAATATCCTTTTTCCACCTGAGTCTTTTTTCAGTTTTCTTATCCAATTCTCTTACCTTGCAGTATCCCCTGCCCAAACATGTCTTTTGGGGTTGATGAGCAGTACCACACTCGTGGGCTGATGTTCCAAGTTTCACCTCTGGATTTAATTAAGATTTCCTTTAAGGAATTAGTGCTGTCTGTTTCCTGCTGCACTAGCTTTTGGGTTTCCTCACCATTTGATTGTTTACAATAAATGGACAGAAATTCCAATAATTATGATGGAGCTTGGGTTTCTTATCCCTAGCGTTATACTCACTCTACTTCCCAAGCAAGTACAGCCTGTGCTTGTTTGTGGGGCTTAATGGAGTGCCGAGAGGCTTTTTAGGGAGGCACAGCATCAATCAGAAGGCAGCACAACTCGAGGCACATCAGGACTCTGGAAGAACCACCAGGCTCTCCATTCAGGTGACTTCTCCCTGCTGGTGAAAGTGTTCCTTGGTAGAGGCGCAGGAGAGGCTGTGGTCCTGCCCGACCACGAGGGATGGCCGGCTGGGAACCCACTGGTCGAGGAGCGTGATGGCCTCGGACACCTCTACGGGAAGGAACACTTTGTGGGGGCAGAGTAATTGATAAACGAGTAATTTTTCATTTATGCCTAAATTACAGATGCACTTGATCTTGCAGTGGAGTGATGCGCAGATAACCTGTAACACCCCATGAATAATTAAGCTTGCTAACTTCCTCGTTCCTTTGATTTAAAAATTCTAATTAAAACTCAGCGGCAGCAAGTAAGCTGAATACATCTGGCAGCCATTGTTGCAAACACACGGCTCATCTGTGTTATTTATTCACTCGAGATTAGAAGCTAAGAGAAATGGCAACAAATAATTTCTTTCACCTCAGCAGCTAATATATACTAATTATAACCCGACTGCCTCAAATACCAAGCAACCGCAAGTCCCAGTTATATCAAGGAAGATGAAGACTATTAGCAGCAATGAAAACCACGGTCATAACAAAATTGGTCCATGAATCAAATCTTGGTGGTACTTATAGATAGATAACAAAGGATAGGAGTGAACTGGCAGACATCAGCAATAGTTTCAGAGTCTTGTTGTTAATTAATTATAGACCGTGAACCATGACCCTCACTTCTGTCTTTGGCTACCACGCCGCTTCGTCAGTAACTAATCGATCTCTCAATATATCCTGTAATAAAAACATATGCTCTTTTTTTCTCCTGAAGAATGAAATTCAGCAGATATGCTTTGGCATTTTAGATACTGAACCAAAGTTCTATACAAAATGCAAAAAGACTTTATGTGAATTTGAAAAATCTGACGATTTAAATTTAATATTGATATACTGTAATGACATTATATGCTGATAAGGACTATGCTAACAGAAAAGCACTCTGCAGCATTTCTCTGTAGCATTTCCTCAGTAACGTTCTGCTAGTAACGATAACACAAATACTGATTTATTACTCACTTTTATCTACCTGTCAGCATCAAGTTTCAAGTCCAAAAAGGCACACTCACAACGTGGTTTTCAATACTTAACTGGAAGTTTTCCCTCTGGATCAAAGCATGCATTATGGCTCCTGACAGCACGCAGATAAAAGACAGGTCACTTCATGAGGCTTGTAATGCCATCTTATTTCTAATTATAAAATACAGTATTTTAAAGGAATGACAGAAGCCTAATTTTTCCCCCTCTAGGTATTTCCAGACCTCACCACTAATCAGCTGAAGGAGGTTCTGCTGTGAAACCGTTGCAAAGCACAATATTCAAGGCTGCAGCAGCACAAACAGCTAATCAAGACACGCAGTGCTCCAAGTGGCTGCCGTGCATACTAGATGTGCTCCCAGTAAAGGCAGATCCTATTGACACAGCTCCTACGTGACAGCCAACACAAAGCATCAGGAAACAGAGGAAGCACTGGGAGTGGAACCACTCCCAGTAACAGTGCACAGGGAGTCAACTGGTGAAATGGGAGAAATTTGAGAGAAATGTGTCGGAACAGACTATAGGGCCACTAGTACACTGGCAGGCCCAGGCTGACATGCTGGGGTCACTGCTGGATTGGTACACCACTGGGGAACAAAATCTGAACTGGTCAGCTAAGCTATGGATAGCAGAATAAAAAGACAGGAAGAAAAGGTACGAAGCATGGGATGGGAGAATTGCCTCCACAAACCTTGTAGAGGAGCAGACAGCAAACCTTGGATCGCTGACAAGTCCAGGCCCTTCTTTTAAACTGTATTTTGAACCACTTAACATGTATTACTGCACGTCAGCATGTTATTCTTTAGCCAGGGCCACAAATTTCCCCTTCAGGAATCCACAGTGTTTAAAAGTGGTAGATACACGTTGAGATTGAAGCACCCATGTTTCCATCTAACCTTTTAGCAGCCATTAGAGACTTACTATTGGGAATCTTTTCCCCCTCTACAACCTGGTTGAATAATCATTAACGACGGCGTATCTGCTTTTGTGGAATAACTGAATAATGCATTGGTAATGCATTTGCAATGTACATCTTGGAAATAAGTGTAATAAAACATAGTGTCTTCCGAGATGTATTTTAAACGTCACGGATTCATCCAGTGTAAGAAGCCACCTGGTTCTTTATTGCCAGTAATGAGAACGCTCCGTCCCCTAGTTCAGCACTTCAGGAGGCATAAATACCCTGTAATGAGCATCAATTTTAATACGATACTTGGCACGAAATCTCTAAAGGAAAGCCATTCTAATCACGCTTATCAAATTCTCACCGTACGCACTTAGAGATCAAGACTGTTTCAACATGTGAGTTTAAGGAGAGGCAAATAATCACAGGGCGTTAGTTACTTGCTGCGGCCTCCAGCTTGCGCTTGTGCGGCGGGTCCTCGATGATTCTGTTGATGTCGCCACGGTGCTTCAAGTCCAGCGGCTTCTCCCACACCGATAGCTGCATTGTAGGGTTGAAGAAGAAGACCCGGTCATCTCCAGTCCAGACTACACACCTATTTCAAGTGATAAACTATGCTTAGATAATGTCAGATACACGTATGACCAAGAAATTAACTCTGAGTTGAATTCTCGTCTGTCACCGTGAGCTGCGCATGGCTGAGACTCATCTCAGACTGACAACCTGCATGGGCAGGGAACAAGGAAAAGGAGAGGAAAACACAAGTGAATGCTTTGTTCACAGCCAAAGAAACCACAGGAAAACACAAGAGCCATGGGCACTGGGACTGGGGCGTGCAAGTGGCCGCAGCCCACAGCACCGAGCCCAGGTGATAGCCACGGGCTCCGGATCCAGTCTGGGAAACACGACCGAGTTGCTGCAGTGCAAGCCAGTCTTTGGACTTGTTCAGTTAAATAACTGTCTCAGCTTGCCATCAGTTTTTGCACCTAAGTTCATTTTAAAACAGCTAACATAACATGAAAGTAAATAACACAGCCCCACGACACAGTCAGTAAAGCTCAGATTTACACCGCCAAATCTGTATGTAAATAAAGCAGCAGAGCAGTCATCTACAGCCTCCCTTTCTGACTTGTAAAGGAAACTAATAAAGAGCACATATTCATCCTGCCTTCCTCAAACACATACACACGCTTATAATGGGAAAACATTGGTCTCTGATACATAAAGTGCTGGAAAGAACAAATGTTATTAGTAGAAGCCCTAATGCTTAGCTGTTATTAAAAGAAAGGATCAGAAGCGGTTAAAAAAAAATAATAAATCTGCTCTGGGTAAAAGACTACAAATATGAAAAACCCAAAAACCCTCCATCAATCCCTGCAAGGTACGATAGGATTATAGCCCAACATTTTCTGTGTACCACTGGTAAGGCATCACCACTGAGTGTGCCCATACACAAAATAAATATATGCATAACCTCTGCAGGAAAGAGACTCGGTAAACTTGAAGCTAGCATCTTGTTTGGGAACAGCAACGCTGCCCCACGCACATGGGACTGGCAAAGCTATTATTTGACAGAGATTATAACCAGCGTTTTTGGAAACCCGTTCTGTCTCTGCTGACATGCTGCTGTGCCCACGGCTCCTCCGGCCGCTCACGTGGGTGCTGCTGGTGTTCATTAATCACCCGATGCCACCAGGGTCTCGTGTGCCATCACCTCAGGTTAGAGGCTCTGGGCTCCCTCGTGACACCCCTTTACTTTTCTGTGCCTAATATCATCTGACGTTTAATTTAAAATTAATGTCCCTTTCCCCATGTAACATGTCACCTGTTCCTCCTCGGTATAATAACAGTTCCAATTATCCTCAGGGAACGCATGGCATTTTGTTTCAGTCTCTGAGCACAAACTGGAGATGCAGATATCGCTGTGCTCATTTTTCCCTACAGAAAACTGGCTTGAGCGTGAGTACGGGAACAAGATGATTACATATGTTTTGTTTCATACTGTAGAAACGTTTGGTTAACATTCTTGAATTTTTTCTGCCATTAAAAATATGATCTAGCCACTCCTGATAGGTCCTTTGTCTCCCATTTGTCTTGGTTTCTACGTTACCTTGATGGCTAGAGATCTGCAGTCATTAGATTGGGTCACTGATCTTCTGGGCCTGAACCAACCCTCCTACTCTCCTCAATAACTGATTTTCTCAGTCTCAGTAACAGGCAACAGGTCAGGTCAACACTTCCAATGTTATCAGGGAAACACCGAAGTGAGAGAAAAGAGGCAGACAGACAGGATGTGCACACAGGCAGTGCACGGGTAAGGCACGAGGGTGGACGAAGCACTGGTGATGAGCTGGGCAGAAGACTCCTTTTCTTTGATCACACCCACACCCATGATGCTGTCACTGCAGATTTCTCCACTTCTGACTCTACCAGCCATCTGTCCCAGGCCATTTCTCCCTTTTCATGGCCACAGGCTCTTGGAATCACCTCCTCTCCCTCCCTGCCTCCACTCAGATCCCACAAACGCTCTGAACTCAGGCTCTGCCCTTAGTGCTGCTGCAGACAGCAGATGCACACAGCTCCAACAGAAGCAGGTACAGCAACCTCTGCATCCTGCTAGCAGCAGTGTGAGATGGCAGCGTATGAGCTCGGATTCCTTCACCTTCTTCACATCTCGATTCCCACTTTGTCTGTAAATCTGCCATTGTTTCCCCTCCGATCTCCCCTCTGTTGCACCTCTGCTGATCTCACCGCTCACTAGTGACCTAAAAGCTGGGAGCAGGAGAATGAGAGAATTGCCCCGTGTTCACTGCTTGTTTTACCAAACGCGCTCAATACCCAGCACTTACAGACACTGATCTCAATTTTAAAATTAAACTCTTCTGTTGCAAAACGGGTCAGTCTTCACGGTGGCAATAACGCTAACTCATTTATAATAATCCCATCCCACGTTTCTGAGTAAGGACTGAAGGATCAAATACCCATCTCTGTGAATTTTTGCACGACGTGCTGAATGCCCTACAAGGCTCAGAGGGGCTGACAGCATGTTAGCAACTGAAAACTCACCTTTCGATCTGTTTTAAGTGGTACAACCTCCAGCCCCACTCAGATTTCCTGCTCCTGCTCCAGAATGACAGCCCAGCATATGCTGGTGATGTCACACCACCCAGGAGTTTGCAGAAGCATGGAGCCAACCTACGGGTGGAGAGTAAATTCAGGGAATTGCTGAATTTGTGTTTTAACCTACAAAAAAGTAATTTTTTTAAATTCTGATTGAACACCCTACAGGCATGCTCCATGATCCATTGTAAGCCCCTGGGCAGATAAGACTTTGTCACCTCCGAACATGGGACAACTCTCAGCATTAGGACACTGCCCTTCCCCTCTGGTCCCAAAGATGAGATTTTGATGTCTGGCCTCACACCTTAGCGCTCACCGAGTCACTAAACAGTTCCCTGGAAACTCAGAAACGTAAGGGTTCTCCTCTGAGACTCCAGTATCACCAGTTTAGATCTGCGAGCGGTGCCCACACGCTGCTGAGCAGGCACTGGGCAGAAGATGCAGTGCTGGGACCTGGCTCTGCCTCTTTTCCGTAAGAACTGACCGATGCATGCAGCGAGCCTGTTCATGACACTGCTGGACTCAAACAGCTCTACTTCCTATAGCAGCAGCTCTCAAGAATAGAAATGATTCATAGAAATCACATTTACAATGTAAGGATTAAATATGATGTAATGAACACAGTGTTTACAACACTGGTCTGCAGAATGGCACAGAATAATACCAACAAATACCGGCTGGTATTAGCTTTAGCCAAAGATCCTGCAGCCATCAGCCACTGAGTATAAACTTACTATTTCATGGCATATGGGTAAAGGACGTGAAAAATCCTTCTTGTCAACCACTTGGGACAGAAAGTGAAAAGTGATTTGTATCTGTTTAGAACCCACAAGAGCTTCAGTTACCCAGGATGTAGTTAACCCAATGGGAATGTGCTCGGGAAACCCAGGGCATGAGCCACCACCTTTCAGAGATTTTCAGATGCAACCTGAAATCCATGCCCATCTTGCAAGACTAAGAGACTGACCACTGCTAATGAAATAACTGGGAGATGAAGAGGGTCTGGCCCTACAAAGCAAGAACATTTTCTCATGGATGGTGTATCTCCTCTTTGATCTACCCAAGAACTGTACAAACTGGGTCCTCAACACGAGAGATCTGGGAAGACCAGAGCCCTACAGAACAATACTGAGCACTGCTGCACAGAACTCCAGCAGTGAAGCACCCACCAAATCAGAAAGAAAACCACCGGCTGCTTTCTGCCAGAAGTGATTTCTGGCCGAGCTGAGATACCTCACGAATCCCAGGGAGGTGGCTCACACCATGTTTGCAGCTCTGTCCTCTCATTTTCGTTAAGTACATGATTAATGAGGAAAAGCCACACTGGAAGCTTGGAAAGGAATGCAGTGCTGCTACTTAACACCCAGGATAGTGTATTTTCCCCACCTAAAGACAACTAATGCATGTTTGGCAAGAGAACCAGCACTGATGAATGACTTTTATTAGCTCTAATTGCATTTGCTTACCATGGTGATCCTGGCACTGGAGTGGATGCCACGGGCTTGTTGCCATTTGCAGAACTGTCATCCTCATTTACTAGTTTAAAAGAATGATCCTTGAAAGAAAGATAGAGAGTAGTCAACAAGTAAAACCGGTACATAAGACTGCTACTGTCACACAAACCACTCCCGTTAACGCGAAGGGGATTACGCAAATTGCCTTTATTCCACTGACAGCTTCACGACCAACCAACTGCCTTGAGACCAGTCCGGATAAACTGGAAATAATCAAAGCGTGGTGGCACTGGTGGGCAAGCACACACCTCAGTGGGCAAGCACACACCTGGAGGGAGCTCTCTGAGCAGGGGGGAGAAGCAGGGAGCACTCAGCACCCCATGGAGGTTGTGTCCTGGCCATGTCACGTCCTGGCTACCACCACTTGCTGCTTGCTCGTGTGCGTTTTTTCTGGTCTTGTGCAAAGACGTAACAGTGACAAGTGCTGAAACCCCATGGGGGGTCCTGTGTGGGGACCCAGCCCCACTCCTGTCCCCGTCAACCCTCTCACCACAGGGATGGGTCCCTCTGCCTACGGCTGGCCCGTGCAGAGGGCAGCAGCAGCCAAGGCGGGCGCTGTGGCACAGCTGATATGTAAGGGCAGCGAGCATCTCAGTGGCTTACAGAAACAAACCGTGAGGAGGAGGTGTGGGAGGAAGGCAGAGATCTAGCTCAGTGCAGTATCAAGACTGTGAGAAGCACGTACTTCAGGCAAATATAAGAAAGCATGTATGCAGAGGTCTTTATTTTGAAAGCACTTGAGGCACCAAGGATGTGTCCCAGCACCAATACAGATGCAAATGTGGGGAACACCTGCAGAGCCTGGCAGGCAGAGAAGGTTTTGCTTGCACAGAGCCTAAAGAAGGCAGTGTGATGGAAACATCAAATCTAAACAAATATTTGAACTCCTTCCACATCTCCCCCTCAGGACAGAGCTCCTGGTGTGCACGGAGGAGACGCGTGGGTGAAGTGCCCGCTGCAGGGCAGCTCTGGGCACCGTCCCCACCGCTGCCTCCCTGAGCCCCAAGGCTGCAGTCAGAGCATCGGGGCCGACCCCCTGACGCTGCGCTGACAGAGCTCCACAGAGCACTAAGACAAATTAAACAGATAGCTCTTTACAATCGACTGGAGGAAACAATCCTCAGTCGACAGCAGAGCTGCAGGTCACAGAGCAGTCCTTTAGAGCGACTCCGATCCGCGCAGCTCGATAGCTTGAAAAGGGTTTTAAAGGGAGACGGAAACCCACAGCAGACCTTGTCGCCATCCCGCTCCACGGGCGCGCTTTTTCTGTCGGCGTGCAAAATCAAGGCTGGCGGGCAGGAGGGCCGGCTGGATTCCTTCCCGGTACCTGCCAGGAGAAAGGGGTTACTGGGCTGGGTGCACTCAGTGTATGGCCGGCCACGTGTGGGGCTGAGCCCCCTGCCCCTCTGCCCGCCAGCCCCGGCCCTCTGGCAGCAGCAGGGGCCGGCAGGGCCTGCAGGCCGCGGCTGGGCTCTGCCTCGCCTTCTGCAGCAGTCGTGGCTGAGCTTTTAATTGCTTTTTAATTGGAGCCGCTGTAAGAACAAGCCCCCGGCCCTCCCCTTTCACACGGCAGCTGGCTCCAAGCGAGGTGCCCAATGCTGGGGGTGTTTCCACGGGCTGCAGGAGGTCTGTCCTAGTAACAGGCCGTAATGAACAGCGAGGAAAGGCAGAAGGGCAGCGGGCATCAGACAGGCCAAACAGCCAGAAAAAAGTGTTTATTTCCACAAAGGTGACAGCGAGTGGTGACGGTAGCAGCTCCAGCAGGCAGCACACAGGGCTGGGGATGCAGGTGGCCATGTTGTGAGGCCCTGCGCATTCCCCCCGAGGATAAAAGCCCCCAAACCATGATTGGGGCCCCACAGCACAACGTTTGGATTCCTGCCTTAAATCCTACAACATTTTAGGCACCGTTAAACAACAAATGGTGACGATGTTTGGACTCACTCAAGATAAAACCCCAAGAGCAACACCCCGACCCCCAGCACCACTGTGCACACATCCCTGACGAGTCCCAGCACCGCACCAGAATTACCAGCGGAGGCTCGAACCCCTCCGAAACTGCTGCTTCATCAACCTGCCCACCCTGCCCGTGTGGGGTACGCCACCAGCACCCCAGTGCAGCACTGCTTGCACCCCGAGCACGCTGCTCGAGGGCTCAGAGCACGGCGCGCTGCAGATGGGGCAGCACGGACGGACTGCGCCCATCCCCAGCTGCTGAGGGGCACTTTTTGGCTTCAAGAAGGACTAAAACTTAGGGTAGAGGAGCTCGAAGGAACTGGTTGGCACGTGCTGCTGCTCCAGGAGGGTGCATTATGGAGTCGATTCGCGTGTGAAATGGCATTTGATTAATTTGGAAATTGCTTAGCAGAAGAGACGTACCTGCAACAGGAACTACATCAAGGGCAAGGCTGGAGCCCACAAAGTGTTTGATTCCCTTTCTCCACTGAATATATCACAATAATAAAAATTTAAGTATAAGTCATTTTTCTCAGAAGACAACTTACTCAATTTTTATGGGTAATGAAGAAGAAGATTTACAAATCATATCAATTAATTTCCACATTAAAGGAGCAAGGAGAAGGGAGCAGCTAATATATATCAAAAGGATCTCTAAATCTATCGTTCTTCATTGGACATCTGCTAGCAGGGAATCACAGCATTACTGCTGAAGTTCAGCTTTGAACACGGATAAATTACATCCAGCTTCATTTTGCCTGCAGGTGGTCACACTTCTGCCTTCTCCTCCCGAACTTCCAAAAGGCTCAGAGCAGACAGCCAGAGAGCCACAGGCTGGAGACATCAGAGGACCTCTCAGGGATCCTGCAGGGAATTTCTCAGTGATGACAAGCACAGAGATGCCACACATATGGCTGGGTATTTTCCTACCAGGGACACCAGCACCAGTAGGAAGAAACTGACCCCAGGGCGCTCATCTTCAGCCAAGAGAAAAACCAGGGTCCCGCTGACAAATACGAAGGCGCATTTCATTCCTCAATCTGATGTAAACTGTGATTATTTTTTTTTAAAAAAAAGACAGCCTACAAAAGTAATGCACTCTTGTTCATGTCAGTAAATGGTGGCACAAGGCATAAAACTCACACCAGAAGAGCTGTATGAGGAAAAAAGCATGGCAGAAAGGACACCTGAGAACCAAGGATGTTTCTCTCATTCACCACTTCATGAAATCCGGAGGCACAATTACAGCACCTGGCTGAAATTTCAGTCTACTAATATGTTCTCACACTCTAGAACATGACAGAGGAAAGATGTGCAGCTTCTTCACCCTCATGAAGGTACTTCATTACCTTGCCCCATGGTTTTCCATCTCTGCCTCAGTTCGGAGGCAGTTTGCAGGCTGCAGGCTCCCAGCACACTGTAAGGTAGCGCTGCTGAACGGTGCTGTGCCTCAGCGCATCCAGCTCCTGGCTCTTCTGCTCCTGCCAAGAAGTAATCCCAGAAGAAAGAGCTCTGGAAGGCTAATTACCTCCTGGTGAAACAGTCATACACAAGCTGCTGCTCAGACAAGGCAAAGCCCTGACTCTGCCACGCAAAGGAGGAGCAGCTGAACACAGAGCAGCACACTTGGACAATGCTTAGCAGACCTTGGGTTTATTTTTCTTTTAGTAGGACAATCACATCAACTCCACTTCCAGCTCTATTTCTTTCTCTTCTTACTTATTTCTCTAATCCTAGAAGAAAAGAAAAAAGCTAGTTCGATTCTTCTGGAGTCTCCATCACCAAGCTGATTTAAGAAGTAGCCAGGAACTCTCATTCATCCACATGCACACGTATGCATGCATGAGGAACACGTTTGCCTCACTGGCATCATTTTTTAATTGACAATTACATCAATTAATAAAAATGGATAACTGTCAACTGGTGGATTTAAACAGACTGTTGCACATGTGAAGCTCAGGGGAAGTTTTGCACCCCTGAAGAGTGAAACAGGAGAGAGAAGCTCCAACACTCCCACAGCTCAGGCAGTTCAGGTTTGATGCAAAGCAAGGTCCGATGTACGGCACAGCTGCTGTTGCCACCGCTGCTCTCACCCTGCTCTCCAGCAGCTGGAGGCTGTCTTGAAGCATGAAGCACGAAGGCGGCCGCGCTGACCATGCCTGGAGCCTCGCACACCGCCGTGCTCACTCCTGCTTGAACCTTACGCAGTTCCACTCGGAGACTCGCTGTGCTGGCAACGCCCGAAGCATCTTCTCAGCTTTTCTCCAGTGAAAAGCTCTCTCACATCATCTGAGCAGGGATCTGAGGCCTCACGGAGGGACTTGGGTGCTGCGTCTTCTGCCAGAAATAGCGTGCCGCCAGCGCAGCACACCTACGTGGGCTTCTGCAGCACACAGCTCGCTCAGCACTCACACGTCACACAGCCTTCCGCAAAATGCTGGGCAGTCAGGACACGTGAAATAAAATGGAAAAAAAACAAAAACAAAAAACAAAACAAACAAACAAATAACAAAAAAAAAAACTAAAGAATTGGGCTGAACTGCTGAAAGTCGCTGGGCAGGTTAGGGGGCAATATTTTTATATCCACAGTGACCACTGAGATGGGTTTTCCCCAGACACCGAAGTTTCAAGCCTGTGTTTCCTCCGTCTAGCTCAAAAACCCTGAGCTGGCTGAACTCCCCGGGCTCAGGTGGGGCTGTGTGAACGAGGGAACCCGAGCCTGAGACAAAAGATGCAGAGAGCCGAAAGTGGTGAGGCCAGAGGCCAGGTGGGACTCATGGACCGCTCTGCGTGTGCAGGAGAACGTGAAACAGAGCACGGGCAGGGCTGCTCACATCACTGAAGACTTCTTCTGGGCCTTGTTAGCTCATTAAGGATCTCTTCTTCTCGGCACATGCCAGAAAGAGCAGTGGGCAAGGTGCGGCATTGACCGCTATTGGCAACTGGTGCACGTCTTTCCCCGGGTTTACTCTTTTCTCATTAATCAAACCTTTTTTCTTCCCCTCTTTAACTTAAGTGCATAAAATATACTGCAGGCAGACAATTAAGGCACCGTGACGTATCTCCAGCATAATCGCACGGCATTTTTTGCCCCTAAACTTAGCAGCACCATTACCAGCAGCGCGCTCCCGCAGCCGCCGCAGCGCTGCTGGGGGATGCGCTGGAGGCTGGAGGATAAGGAGGCCTGATTAGAGAGATTGCTCCCAGCCTCCGCGGCAGGTAGAGAGACATGAATAATTCACAGGATGAAAAGCAGAGGTGAAGTAGCAAAATTATCAGACATCTATTACAGAGGATGTAGGCGTGTGACTATAAACACGTTAAATGCAGAATTAGAGAGGATGAGGAAGAGGAGGACTGATTTACCCCACGAGATGCTCTGGACAAAGAGCGAATAAAACTGTTTGGCACAGGTTTTTAGAGGCCACACTGCTGTTACTCTCAAATGTAGGTTTAAAATTCTGACTCTTAGTGTTGCAGAGAAATGGATTTATTTCAAGTGCACAATCCAGGCGCTCTGCTCTGTGCTATCCCACCAGTTCTGCTGTGTGTCAGTCCTGTCTCTCCCCACAGATTTTTTTTTTTTTTCTTTTGCTTTTTTTTGAGATCAGCCTAAAACCCACATGGGGTGGATGCCCAGCTCCTCCCCTGTTGCTCGCTGCTCAGCCACAGGCTGCTTTCACTGCTGGCTCCATCACCCAGTCCCTGCCCTGCTCCCGCACGGCTGGGTCCGGCTTCCACCCAGCGGCACCGCTCAGAGCAGCGGGCACCTCCTGGCATCACCTGCTCCTTCCCGCACAGCTTATTTCACCCCTTAATTGGTGTGGATATTCTGCTTTCACCCTTTCCTCTGTTATGTGCCAAACACTGCGTTTCCCACCTTAGCACATCTCTGCTTGAGCAGCTTTGTCCCTCCGCACCAACCCCTTCCCACTCACTCCCTTATTTTCCCGAAGGCTGGTAACAACATGGCAGCAAAACGAGGACAAATTCTCTGCCTGCTGTACCACGGCACGGGCTCTGTGCCTGGTGCGGAGGCTGGAGACGAGCAGCCAACGCTCTCTGACGGATGGCATTTCCCCAGACAGGGCGCAGGGTGCACAGCACCCCCCTGTCCTGATCCACCAGGACCGGGCACAGCACCGGGCTCGTGCCTCGGCCTCCCCCAGCACCGGCACCCTTACCTACCCCAGAACCACCCAATCTGTGCTTGTCTGCAGTCTTCTCCTGCCTGGGTTTACCTTCTTCTCTCGGCTGCAGCCCCTGTGCTATTTCTCAGCCCCTCTCCCAGCTCTGTGCACCCCTGCAGGGCTGTCCAGGCGAGCTGCAGTCAGCCAAACAGCTCCGCCAGCTCCTGGTGCCTCTCCTTGCCCTGCTCTTTACGTGCAATTCCTTTTAAACTTAAATCGAGTTCAAGATCTCGGCCCTGACCCGAAGCACTCAATGGTCTGAGCGCTGAAGATCTGTGAGGTTATGCGGAGCTTTGTGCGGGTGGCAGTGACCAGCTCCACTCCATCGTGTGCGAGGTGTTTTGCCCTTGACTGTAAGGGGAAAAAAAATCATTGCTACTGGTCGTTGGATATTTCCAGCTTCCAACACAAAATAAATGCTTACTAGACGCCAGGACCACTGCAAAGTTTACTGCTTATGCTCCAGAAATACAAAAAAACATAGATTAATTCTGTCTTCAGGAAGGAAAGTTTTTTGCATGTCCTTAGGGGCCCTGTCTCCCCAGCTGACTCCACAATCGGGGCAGCTCCCGGGGTTTTGTCCAATTCTCGCTGTTTCATAACAGCTTTCTGAAGAGCACGCTTCCTTTTCTGCAGCGCTTTGAGACTGATGTGTGAAAACACCTTTATTACTGTTATTTGCCCCTAATTATGATCCTTTCTTTGATTGCCTTTCCAATGGAAATAATGATAGCTTGTAGAAACCTATAGAAAAGCGTGTGATCTCCCGAAAAACATTAAAGAAAAATCCATACTAAACTTGAGTGAAATTGCCATTTTTCTTTTAAATGCGGTCAGCAGCAAATCAAAGATGACAATCGGAGGAAGATGAATGTGTTTTCTATTTTCAAGGTAAAGCCAGAACCAAAAACAGAGCGCTCATCTTATTTACATCACTTGTATACGTGCAGAAACCAAACGATTGCTCTTCCAAACCCACGACCTTTCAACACCACGGCCCTTTGATTTACACAACCTATTGACCCAACGCCACACGGCCCTCGTCATCCAAAGCCATCTGGGCATTGAAGGCTTCACACGGTGTAACCCTCCATCAGCACGATGGGTGGAAGCGGGAGGTTTGTGTCCACACGTCCATGAAATTCCTCTGGGTGTGAAACGCGGTGCAAATGAGGACTGCGGTTTTGCACAAGCAGCGAGCTGCAGAGCAGCAGGACTCTCACACGGAACTTTGCCTTTCTGCACATGCATTCTTTAACCAGTTTTAGCATTTCCTCCACCTCTTGCTCCTGCCCAGAAAGCAAGTCAATAGCACAGGAACACACAGGTCTTAAACAGAGGAACTGCACCGAGGGCAAAAGAAGTAGGTGCTCAGCAAAAGCCAACTAAGCCAGACAAGAAACTTTAAATCAAGCTGTATCACAGGAAATGTGTATGAACCTTCTTTCAGTCTTGTATCTGTCAGAACATTTTCAAAAATTCCCAACCCGAAGTGGAATGCTCAGCAAAATAAACTCCAGCAGAAGGTCTAACGCAAGACAGGTCTAAGGGCGGACAGACCTGATTCACAGAGAGCCTGCAGCTCCAGGCAGGGCTTTGCCTAGCACAGCTGACCCTGAAACTTTTATCTTAGCGGTGGGTAGAGCCCGTGAGCATGATGCACCCACACGGCAAAGGGCTTAGAGGGACGAGTGACGGCTTTTACACAAAACCCTGCACACGCATACAAGTACAGCCGCTTCTAACACGCAGCTTGCAACCCCTCCACAACCACACTAATGCTGCCTAGGTGTGAAGAAATGGTGCAAATGGTGTCATCTTCTAGGTGGGGAGAATTACACCAGAACTGATACCCAGTAATTCCTGGCAAAGCCCAGCATTTGCCATGAAACCAGCTTGCAGCACGCCCAGGCACGGAGGGCTGCAGCCACCCTGGCGGGCAGAGGACAGCACATCCTCGCTGCAGAGGTAGGATTTCACCTCCACCAGAGCTCCTGTCCTCCCAACACGACAGTGTGTAAGGATTTCTTGTCAGTAGGAAAGATGTTCTCCATTTTCTATCGAAATCTGATCTGGTTTTGGCCATGATCTGCAAGGTGTCTGTGTGGATCTGAACAAAGCCACGAGACTTCTTCCAGCTTTTGGGAGAAAGCACCGGCTCCCTCACAACAACACACGCATTTACATGAAGATGAATAAAACAGTTTTATCACTCAGTACAGCACAAAGCATCCTCTGAGACTGCAGCCAACGAGGCTTCATGGAGCAACTACCCACAAGATAACCACGTTATCACGGCAATGCTTGTGAGTACCATTGGCATGGGAAATGAAAAGCCCAAGGACATTTCACAAACTTGCCTTTTGTGGCATCAAATGCAAAGCTACTGCCAGTTGCCAGACAGAGCAAACGGGATCTGAAACGCTCTGCAAACACTTGTAATTAGCTAAAGCAAACGCCATAAAATTTGAGCGGATTTTTTAAGGGCCCCCCATTACCGTGCAGTATGGAAAACACGGTTTGGTTGGCCGTACACAGATCCCCAACATATGCTCCGGTAATATAATCAGTCCAGAGAAACAGAAACACACCTGTGAATGCCTGATCCATCAGGTTGGCTGTCATGAACGTCACAGCTGGTGCAGACACAGCAGTTACCCTGGCGACTTGCGTTGGCATCAAAGGACTCAGATGAGCATCCACTCTGGAGGCAGAACCTGCATTCGAACCATAATGAAATCACTTTTTCTTTCCAGCAGACAAAAACGCCTTCAGAAAAATCTCTTCTTTCAGCCGGATTTCACATAATGCTTGCTCAAGCTCCTGTGAAACATTTCTCTCTACGCTCGCTCGGATGGTTAAAACAATAGGGGCTGAGTTTATTCGAATTACGCGTCTTGTCTGAACGTGATGCCCATTGATTTTTGGCAAATAAGTACAGGTGGATATTTTAAATTACTATAAATGCGTTCCCCAAAACAAGAATTTCCAAGAACACGTTAGTGTGTTCAGAACAGACGTACTGCGAGATCAGTTTTCTTCTTTAAGACTAAACAACACACCTCCAATTTCTGCTCATTACTCATCACCAACCATGTGTGTCCCATTCTCCTCACGGGAAATATTTTGCCAATAACTTACACCAGCAGCTTTCTCCACGTGAATCACAGCCTGCTCCCAGACAAGCCACAAAACAGAAAACCACTGCATCGCCCAGACGCGATATTCGTGATAAGGTAGTGATCCAGACATGCTGCTAAAATCATAATTAAACTAGGCTACTTAATCCTTGAGAACTTGTGGCTATCGCCAAATTTAAGGTCAAACCTTAAGCACTGTTTTCCTATTATCTGCATGTCTGGACGCTGCACGTTTTTTCAGAACCTGGAGGAGATCACACCATCTCATTCCCATTTTTGTCTCCATGCCCCGTTGACCAGCTGCCATTTCCAGACTGAGCTGGCAGCAGGGACGCATCCAAGTCTGAGATGGACCAAGAATAAAACCTCATTTCCCAGGCACGTCTCAAGCTGCAGAACGTGTAGGGTTCAACTCCGTGTCCACTGTCAATGTTTGCACTGATTTGTGTCTCAGTTCCCAGGTATCCAGGGAGCTGATTAAGCACAGCTCTCACTGGCACAGGGAACACTGATCGCTTCCCCAAACATGACTAGGACATCTTTGCACGTTATATTACCACAGTGGTTACTCTGATGTCCTTATTCTTGCTCAAATCTATGGTCATGGGTACCAGCTCGCCTAGTGCCCAGGCAGAGGGGCAATTCCTCCTTGTTCTGACACGGGGGTGGCACACACAGCCCGCTGCTGCCCACGCTGCCTTCCCCAGCCTTGGTGGCAGCGTGAAGGGGTCTTGGCTGACCACAGCAGCTATCAGACCAGGAGATGCCCACGACTTCCACGCACACCCGGTGGCATTCCCTGCAGAAAACCAGCCCCGGCTGCTGCTGGGCTGCTCCCTGCTCCGGTTCGTGTGCTGCCCAGGCAGGAATTCCTGCTGTCACCAGGCTTGGGCCCCTTACCTCCCCAGCAGCTGAAGAAGAACTCAGAGCACAGCACACAATTTGCATCATGTTCCTATTCTGTTTAATTCATGCTTCACAGCAACAGAAATGGGAATAAAACAATCCTATGGAAGAAACAACGTTTTATAAAATTAGCCTAATTCCTATAAATGGCTATGGGAACACTGTGGGAAGAGAAAAGCTTTACCAAAAAAACAATCTTAGGAAAAAAATAAGGGGTGTGTGAACCTTTAGGAACTAGGATCAGCTCTGCAAGCTCCCTGACTGTTCAGTAATGCATTTCCATGATACCAACTCACTAACAGCCAGGGTACCTTGAATATACTACTTGGTGAAGGATGAGGTATTCATTTTAAATGTAAATGAAACACCTCAGAAAAACAAGATTGCAGTCCAGCAAGGAAAAGCTGAGTTCCAGATGCGCAGAACGGAGCACAGACAGTGTTATTCAGAAAAAATCCCTAACTTTGGGCTTCAAGGGTGCAGGCTCAGGCCCCAGGAGAAGCGAAATGCCACCTTAGGGTGCGTGTTCTGCAAACAAACGGCACCGGTGCTACACACAGGCTCATTTTCTCAGACGTGCACACCCCGCAGCTGTGGCACCACGACACATCCAGCTTCAGATCTCTGTTTTGTTGCCTCCTCCGAGCCTTGAAAATTGTAAGAATGCGAGAAGATGCTTAATATTTTTATGGGCTTCTTCCCACATTTCGGCTTTCCCAAACAGCCAGAGCAGAGCCCCGCACCACCAATGCACAGACAGCGCTGAGCCTGCCCGGCTGCTGGGAGCACGGAGCGAGAGGAGAGGGACGGGAACACTTCAAGCTGGCAGGCACAGCAGGGATTTGCACAGCACTGATTTTCCTGAGCAATAACTCAGTGCCATCAGTAGGGGGAAGGGGCCAGGGAGCACAGCAGCGAGGCTGTCTCCTCCCCAGGACACACAGAGCATCGCCCTCGCTAGGGCAACGCAGGTACCTGGGAGAGCCTGGCAAGGCTCACTGCAAGCAGCTGGAGGGAAGGCTCCAGGAAAGGAGGCCATCTATTATTCCTCTTTATCTTTAGCCATTAAGTCAGTACAGGAGAAATCCTGCCAGACATGATCACTTGTGTGAGAAACAAACTGCCCTGTGCTATAATAAATTTAATCCACGCTTACTTTGAAGGAAGAACAACAAGTAAAGTACTTACAGGAGAGGAACGGGACACCGGGATGCTTCCTGTGCTACCTCAAACACAAATCAGTGTCAGGCCACAGCCACGATTACGTACAGATAAAATTGGAGCAACTTCGTTAGGTGCTTCATTATCTCCTGCGTGTCGCTGTAGATTAGCTCGCCTCTTTTTTTTCCCTCCATCAAAACATATGTTGCACGCTGAAACGTGATTTTGCGTTACACAATTTTCACTGCCTCTTTATGGTGATTTATTATCACATCCAGCAAAAATAAAATTATCAGCGCATCCTTCAACATGATGGAAGCAATTAGCTCAGAGCTCCCATCCAGACTTGACTCAAGCATATACACACGGATATTTTTTCATTCTGCAGATCAAGTTCAACAGCTTAGTTTAATTTTATCTTACGCTCACCAAATAAGCTGGAATGATTTAAGGCAATCATAACATTTAAGGAATAAATATTTATGCTTTCCAGTTCTTCGTGTTCATAAAAAAAAAAATCTGTCTTTGCAATGGATGAATCTAGAATACAAACAAACCCCGTGGATTTAGCTGAATGTCACCATGCAATCCAAGCTTTCAGCATGAACTCAACATAACCTGGGCTGCAATAATACCAAAAAGGTGAACCATAAAGAGCCTGGCACCCACCCACACATACCCTGTGTGCTTTGTGATTAAGTTTAAGGGAAATTTTACTACAAAACCACTCTGAGAGGGAGGAGTAGAAAGGTGATCTTTCCTATCAAGCCTCCGAATGCTGCTGTGCCCAGCAGAGCACCGACTGGCGAGTGGTGCGTTTTGGACCAGGTGATCCTGGAGGTCTTCTCCAACCTTGATGATCCCAAAACCTACCTCTCCATGTAACCGTGGCAATGACGTTGCAAGGCCAGAGGAGGACAAGGCCAGACAGCTGAACCCTCCTGGGCACAGCCCGCGGCCACATCAGGGCCAGCTGAGCCCCCGGGGAGCCGCTCACCTCTTCTCTGCACCACGAGGCATGGCACAGCACGAGGGATGTGCCTCGCTGGGCACTGTGAATGCAGCTGGCAAGAAGAAGGTTTGCTCGGCGATGGAGGTTTCCTGTTTTGCACCTTGTTTTGTGCTTGGAACACGGCTGTTTTGGTTCCTCTGCTTTGTCAGAAACGTATTCTTGCTGTCTGCATGAATATTCATTACACTCTGCTGCGTACAGATAGGATCACCCTTGTTTTTATTTTTTAAGATGGCAAAATATGTCAGCGGAATAAAGCCCAAGAATATGATTTTCAGAACTGTAGCCACGGCTGAAGAGCAGAAAACCCATTAACGGTATAATTTTGTTGACTTTCAAGTCACTGATGCAACGCTGAAAATCCCACAGTCAATAATAAGCCCAGCAGGTACTCCCAGATATGCTTCTTTCTAAGTCAAATATGAGCTGCGATGGTTCTTTTTTACATCCAAATTGAAATGTAATGAGGGAATCTATTAACAAAGAGTATTAAATATTCAGCGCTCTGGCTCTGCTCGGCAAAGGCTTTACCTTAAAACTTCCAGAGGGACCCGCGAGTAATGCTGACATCTCACAGGCTTTGCCCTTTTGATACCATTTGGAAATTTTCCTCTTTTGGAAAAGAAAAACAACAAACAAAACCCAACCAACCAAAAGAACAGCCCAAACCAGGACACAACCCGTAAATACGAAATAAAACGCTAATATTGAACCTGAAATGCTGGAAGAGGTGTCCTCGCTGCTTGGCTTGGCTGCTGTTTCTCTCCACAGTGAGTACGTACAGAAAGCAAGTCCTTGGGGAGCAGAGAACATCACCCTGAAACCTGCCATCGATCCTGGATTTGTTATTGATAATAAACCCAAACGTGCACAGCCCCAAGGAGCAGAGGAGAGCAGTGCTGGACAACCCAGAACGACACCGAAGGAGAAATCCTGGCCCCAAGCACATCCAAACTCCCTCGTCTCCCACGGGTTACTCCAGAGTCTCCTGGCTTCTGGGGGTTTTTCAAATGAAAACCTGTGCACAGCAAACGAGGAAGCACCTATCAACAACCTGATGGGATACAACAGCAAATTAAGAGAAAACATCACACAACAAGCCCCGGACTTGTGCACATACCACAATAACAACAAGTGCTGCAAACCGATCGCTCCCACTGCCTGCAGGAGGAGCCCTGCTTTGAAATGGGGCCGTATTTCCCCGATCTGATAGATGTGTCGTGCCCGTACGAACATTAAGCATAAGATGGACACGTAGGGTAAGTCCTTCTGGGCTGGCACCCTGCTCCTACACACAGCTAATTGCAAACATTGAGGGAAGAGCACAACGTGGCTAGGATGCAGTAACATGGGGAAAAGGTGTATGGATAAAGCAGAGAACCAGCACAATGTTTCAGCAGGGCACTTCCAGACCTTCCAATAACCACAGCTCAAAGAATGGAATAATCCTTAACGGGCTCTTTTTGTCCACGAATGTGCGCTACACCCATTAAAATAA